TCTCGTGACGCTTGATCTCTTTCCCCTGGAGTGCCGTCGCCTCCGAGGGGACCTAATTCTTACCTATGCCCTGTTTGAACAAAGCTTGGCAAACAGGTTTTTTACCGTTTACCCAGCAAACACCCGGCGGGGACATAGTAAGAAAAACTTCAAGCTCAGGGCACACACATCCGTTAGACAAAACTTTTTTTCATTTCGGGTAGTAGCTGCGTGGAATGACCTTCCTCCGACGGTTGTACACGCTCCTTCTCGAACCCAATTTAAAGCACTATTAGACGTTTATTTATGCGAATCCTCGCGCTGGCGAGCATACTGCCCCGCGCTGAGAACATAAAGAGCAGTGCTACACCCTTTTTTCACTTGTGCCTTTCAGGTGAACGACAGCCACTGACCGACAAGAACAAAACCGACCCGGGAAACTTGGGCAAAAGCCTCGATCCTGTGTATCAATCCGTGAATCCGTGAATCCGTGAGAAGCAACGGAGCGGTAGTTGGCGATGGCCTACTGATCCGCTCTCTGCGCCTGTTCATCGGGTCACAAATATTTTATCAAAATCCGATAAACATAAGCACACTGACTACGCAGTGCTCCTCTTCCGCCTATACAGTTTGCAGATGGAGCCTCAAGCTGCGACCTGATTGGCTGTCCATCATCTTCTAACGTGGGATCTGACTGGTCAGTTAGCAATGTGTGCCAATTTTTTCAATAAACACCATCGTTCCTGTTAATTGCTTTCATTTCCGATTGGTCCATTCGTGATCTCTGTTGCGTCCCAATCTACCTCCGTGCTGTATGGTTGGTTGATTGTGTCCCCATTTTCATGAGATTACCGCCTTCATCCTGGTTAGTTTGTTCCTAACCTGGTCAGCTGATCTGAAGGAATTTCACCACGTTATTTTGGCTCGGTTCGTTCCCGAATTCGCCGGTTGTTTATGATAGACACACGTTTCAATATGCTCAGTTTGCCCATTATTTTGATTCTTGCTTGTCCAGCTGTTCTATTTAGGGCTTGATGGTACTGGATCTCCGTTATCCCCAGAAGTTGACAGACAAAACTGACCTCAACGCGTTTCTTATTGCTACGCTTGTGAAACGCCAAATTGCCATAAGTTCGCATTTTTTCTGTGTTCTTGCTTGTGCTAGTATGCTAGTGTGGCCGCAGCTACATATGTCCTCTACTTCGATCATGTAAATGGATGAGCGAGAGGAAATAAGTCAAAATTGGTAAGTGTGCCATAACCACACAAATCGGTGCACACCACAGGATTTTATACAGGCGCTGATACATGGCTCCTGAAAAACTTCTGCACCGCCTCGTTTGGTACCCAATTTGATTGGTTCCAGCTGGGAGAAAAGGGATACAGTCTGAGTGGTAATTTGACTGATATAAAGGGTAGGGCGTTAGGCGTAAAATAGTTCGGGTCAAGTGCAAGGGAAGATCGGTAGCACGTGGACAGCAAATTGTATCGGGAGTAGGGCAAAGAGTGAAAATTGCGGCAGCAGGGATGGGATCGTGCAACCGGAGGACGGAAACCGGGTGACAGATAGGATCGACAGGGAGAGAATGATGATGGTGAACATGCTGAAAGGTGCTGAGCTGTTGTCAACTTGAGTGCCAGGAGTTAGGAAGTCTTGTGAAAGCCTGGACAGGAAGAGGGTTTTGAATGGTCCCTGTTGGGTTTTTTCGCTCTTAAAGTTCACTATTATAGTTCATTTCTGTTTCATCGCTGAATACACACGAGACAAGAGTGATATCTAAAATGGCGATTCTCTCAAGATCACAGGTTAGCTTTAGCCGAGTGCCTCTGTATTTAACCATGGTCCGCCACGCAGTCATCGGGGCACACACACTGAGCCAGTCTGTCAACGAATTTTACGCATCGCCTTGCTCCCCACATCATGGATGACCACATCCATAGCAGGCCTACGATATTCAGGATATCCTCCTTACTATAAGGATTGGGTGCACAAAAGCACCAGGGCAGCTGTAATGGCACGCGCCATAGCCTACAGGATATGAAAAAAAATGCCCTCCGGTTCAGTTAACTTATTCAAAATTCTGTTCTCGGAGGTCGTTTTGAGTCTCACTCGTCATCAGTTTATGCTAGCTTCTCAATTACAGAGTGTCGTCCACCATTCTATAGGACAAATTTATATAGAGTTTAAGCGTGCTCGTGGGATTTCGCCCAGTTGTGCCGGTTCAATATTTGAAAATAAATCGATAGGGTTGGAACTGCACCTTACTTTTTTTGAACTGACCGAGAAATATGTACAAGGTCTATCTTTCGGAGGAAAGCACGCGCCCTTCGGAGATGTCTTTGGCTCGGCGCCCTAGCGGTGTTCGACTCTCTCGCGACAGTTTTATCCAGAATGATTTGAATGCTTTGGTGCAGTCGATCAACCCTGATTTGTACAGGCGGAAGTATGTCTTTGAAACTGCTTGGGAAGTTGTCAATAAAGGTAAATTTGACTACGTGCGCGCGGATTCCTATTGTATTTCCCGTTAGGTGGTTACAGAGTAGCTTTCGACACGCCGAAATTTGTTTTTTCTTGACAACCATCGGGAGTCTGCTTGTTTCCTCCCCGTTGTTGTCAAAGAATTTTACCAGAAGTTTACGGACGTAAAATTCCGAATCATACTAGTTTGTGACTCTAGAAAAATAGGCTCGGATGATGTGGTAAAGAAAGAGAGCTTATAAAACTGATAAATTGGCTTATTTTCCTTATGATTCTACGCTTTACTCGGTGGGCAGCACGATGAGCTTTTCGACAAGCGTCTCAAACATCGGACGTCGGCTGCTGTGCAGTACATGTAACAGGAGACGACACTGCCCCAAAGCTAGAACACCTCAATGAGGCGTCCTTTTCCAGTTAGTGGCACTTCACAAGGGACTATGGCACGAGCTAATGAATCGCGAAGGGCGAGCCGGTTTTCGTTGTGCTGACAAAATCTTCACACTAACACCTTTCAGAACGATATCATGCTTTCCTACACTCGACTGTCACGGCCTTCATCTCCTTGGACAGGATAATACGGAGCTTTCCGATCCAAAGTGAAATGCAGTCTCCCTTCGCTTGGCTAGAGACACTGCCAGAAATGACGCCTAGTCGATGTCAATGATGTTGGCTTCGTTATCAGTTTCCAGGTTGTCTAATTGTGAACTTGGAGAAGTAGACATTGGAGAATGCTTGATGTAGGCTACCACCAGATCCATCCACTGTTCGCTTTGTTTTCTTCACATCAACTCTTCGCATATTTAATGGCCTGTGGTTGTACAACGTTGAAACAGCAGTGCCAAACTGATGTTGCTTTTCTGTGATGATGGAGGTGATTTTGATGGTCATAACGGGAGTGGAGTGCCACCGGAACTTGTGAATATTCTGAGGTCACTGTTTGGCGAGGTGCTCGTTCAGGTGTAACACCCTTTCGGTGCCTAACTGCTATACAATCGGAAGGAAGCACGACGGCTGGTATACTGCCAGGTCTACCCCAGTCGAGAGGCAGAAATCGGGTTCGAACCACGGACCTTTCAGTCAGTAAATTCGTGCCCTAACCACTTGGGCCGTCTCGCTCCGATGGCTGTGGTTAGAGCGCGAATTTACTGACTGGAAGATTCTTGGACCGAACCCGACCTCTGCCTCTCGACTTCCCCTGTCTAGGCCTGGGCAACCTGGCGGTATCCTAGCCGTCGTGGAACCTTCGGGTGGCATGGCAGTTGGGCACCGAAAGGGTGCTGCAGCTGAACATAACCACAGCCATCCCGCCCACTGTACGGAGGACGATTGGTTAAGTCGGCATCTATGTCTAACTCTCGACAGTTCCCAGACACCAGGGGGGACGTTTTGGAACATTTCCTCCCTGTTTATTTTCACCAGCGATATCCTGAAAAATCTTTTGCTCAGGGATACGGTCGACAAACTAGAGCTTTTGTCAAAAACTAGGAAGTGGTATCCAGAAACCACTTTACACCGATTATATCCAATCGGGCTACTGAACATCTGAATTGAACCGTTATATACTGGTTTTCTCAACGGAGTGGAAATTGTTGAGGGCTAATTTGGGCGCTGTGCCATGCTATTTGTTTCCTGCACTAAACAGGTCAATTACTCAATTTATCGGCTATAAACTGTGTACCGTAGGCACACTGGTTCCGGCTGCTAGAGTTTCGATCATCATTAGGTGGAAGAGTTTGACATACAGCCAAGCCTTGGAGGCATGCTTTGTTAGTTGGGAAACTGAGTAGCTACGCATTGAAAGCGATAGCTTTGAGGCACGAGCGCCATTGATTGCACACTCGGGCCACATCTGTCACTAACCAGTGGTGCCAGTTGGTCCCCATCCAGGGAGGCGGCAGTTGTTGACCCGACCCGACTTACTGGTTAGTGTTTTCATAATTCGTGGCCAGGTCATACACTGTCTACCTCTT